AAATTTTCTCTCACTTCTCCCATATTAGCCCTAGAGGCGCTTTTCTTGTAAGAAAACATGAAAAATGTGCGAATTACGCGTTGCTCTGTTCCTTCAAAAATTAGCGCAGGCACTGTAGTGTAATAGAGCATTGAACTTTTTATCGACAATGGAAACGATTTTTTTTTTCTTCTCCACATATATTCATTCCGGAAGACGTTATGATGATGCGACGGTCCATAAAGAGTCATTATCTCACGAAAGTCATTGGTAGTATTGTAGTGATTAAGAAAAACTCAGTTAATTGCAACTTTTGAAAGATCAGTTTAAAGCATTCATTGAGTCGCTCCAATAGCAGTACAACGTTCTGTGTTCTTGAGAAATTCTTGAACTTTATCGTCTTTTGCAAACTGGCTTCGTTTCTGGTACCTGGTACTTGCTGAAGCATAACGTCGCTTGAGCGTGACATTTGCATCTTGCAACCAAGCAAGGGTCTTCTATCTCTAAAAGAGAAATAATTTAGCGTTAAACATAATTCTAAACAAAATGGCCTGGTATCTCACAATTGGCAAGAGAAGGAGAACGATAGAGATAAAATAGAAGTAAGGAAGTAAAGCGCAGAAGATATATAAGTAGCGTTTAATAAGGAGAGGGGAAGTTGTACCGTTACAAACAGGTGTCTTGTTGTTGCATATCCACAAACATCTATTTGCTTTGGTCAAGTCTGCCACAGTGGCGTAAGGGGTAATCTCGCAGCGCTTCTCATTTACTGCTCTATAGTAGCATCCCAAGAGATCGTGGCAGCACCTGCAAGAAGATGATACCGTATGCTTGTCAGTAAATTGATTCTGCTGTTCTCTTCATACTTGTCAATCTTATCCATTGGAGTGTACCAACGACGTGGAACTGTGTTACAGTAACAACCATAACCGTCATAGCTCTAAATAGTGTCTTTCATGTATTATAGTATGTCTGGGCCTTCTAACGTATCGCACATATTTCTTTTATAAGCCCTCTTTAATATTCTAAATTTTCAAATATGCTGTTAGAGCGCTGTTTGAACTTACCGATAGGCTGACACTAGGTCCCATTACGCAGGTTACCATACCCTTATAGAACCAGAAATCCGGATGACGACGCTGACTTAGTCCTTGACTAGTCCC